ACTCGCGGTTCAATTGGTCGGTCGACTGGACGTCTGTGCCGTCGGCCGCCCTCTGCCTCAGCCCCCGGTCTTTCTGGGCCGACCTGATCGACGACATCCACGCCCGCGAACTCGGGTCGTCGGCCACACGTTTCAGCACAAACCTGATGTAATATTGCAATTAAACATTATTAATTAACACTAAACATGTATTAAATGCATTTAAGTAATAGACTTTTTATTGCGTTAAAACTGTAATGATTTCATTCAAACCAATGATAGCATAATGTTGTAAAAGTTATCACTTTATAACAAGTGGTCCGAAACGGAAATATATGTGTAAATCATAGATTGAGCACTCCGTTTGGAACTTAATCATAACAGTAAACATGTATTTCTAAGAATTAATTTGTATAGTGTACATGTATTGTACATATGACCACATTTTTCAACATTATAATAAATAGATTTAATTATATTTGACTACTTTGTATTTGTCATGGATATTTTTAACAACATAACAAAATTTAAATGCCTATAAGTTAGCTATTTCACCTCGTCAACACTAGATTAAAATTTAAAATAACTATTAAAATTTTATATACATGGTTATCATCTATTTAAAAATTACAATTTACCCAACTAACAAATTCATTACACATAAAATTAACATTAAGTTTAACAAGTTTAAAATTAGCTCATAGTAATAGTATTTCTACACATTGAGTAGCATAGGCAAATATCATTTTAAAAGCTAGACCCACTTGATCCCTTATGAAAAAGACATAAATAGGGTGACCACACGTACCTGCCGTCGCCTTTCCACAGGGACTGGGCCTCCAGCGGGCGTTCGCCCACATCTAGTATACGTTGAGTGCAGTGCCGGTCATTGAGTCGGCGTTTATCCCAACCCCTCTGCACCTCCTCTATGAGCACATACTCTGTGGCCGACTCCGGGGGTTTGTTGGCTTTGGCCAACGCCTGGCCAATCACGTCGTGCGCTGTGCTGTCCTGGGTGATTTTCAATATGGTCGACGGCTCGTCGGCCACCACACCGTGTATTACCAGGAAAAACATGCGGCGCCGCACCGGTGCTGAGCCCACGATAGAGTCACCCAATCGGCTGTCCATACGGGCGAAGTCGGCCGCAGAGATCGGTCGGCGACCCGTCAGACGGCC